TGCATCTGGAGGATGAGGCTGTGGCTGAAGTCATGGAGTGAGCTGCTCTTTACTGAGTGCGGTCGGGTCAGCACTCTTTTTGGCGCTTCTATTTGGCATAGAGGCCTCATTTTTGTGAGCCACTCCAGCAGCAGCAATTCAATTGAAAAGTTTCTCTGAAAGTTCCATCGCTTTTCACTTTCCCTGACCTTAAATACTAGAAGCCTCTAGCTTTTTCTTAGCAGTATGCAGTCTAAGGCTGGAGTCAAGGCTTTACAGTTTCTCATTCACATACCTGGAGACGTAAAAAATGGAACCCATTATTTGTCCAGATGCAGCATGTTTGAGACATATGTTGCTTCGAATGTTTTCATTCGTGTTGAAGAGAGTTGAAGAGTTTGTGAAGTGAGTTTTTATGTATTAATATGATGTGCTTATGAAAGAGCAGATACAGCATGTGGTGGGCAAGGGTAAACAGCATGCACCCACATTAGACGTCAGATCATTATTAATTCCTGAATATAGCCTTAGAAAGCTCCGGTTCTGACTTGAGATATTATCAGATGGAAACTATTTGAGCATATACTCTCAGAAAAAATCTTTATTTTTTTTGATCTTAGCAATCTGGCACATTCCCGATTAGTGGAAAAATGTGGAATTGTTGCATAGAGCATATGAAAACAAAACACCAGTTAAGCAAGAGTGAAATGGAGAAACAGAAGCAGCATGAAAAGAGTTGAAATTGCTAAACAGCAGCACAAATGGTCAAATGTGCTAATTGCTTTAAGCACATTGTTCTGTTTTCGATTAGAGTGACCAGTGCTAAATTAACACAAACACGAACCAAGAAGGCAAAACCAATATGTGATGGACGCTCTCTAGCCACGCGTTTCTTCCCCCCAGCTTGAATTCTTTTCTGCCTTTTTCCCTTGTTTTTTTCTTTGCTTTTGTTTGCTTGGGAAGAAAGAGGGCTTGCAGGCCTGGTGATAAGAGGGTAAGGTGTGGTTGAGTTCCAGTCTGGCTGTTCCAAGATGGCTTTCATGATAACAGAACCTGCTCTCGAATTACTTCCCAGAGCACCACCATCAAAGTGTGGCTGCCTTGCGTAAAGAGCCCCCCTACCCCCCACCACCCCCCCATGATGGCATGCAGACGGGGTGAAGTGGGGGGAAACCGTGGCCCACTTTTTACCTCCACCAGCCCATTCTCCTTGCCGTAGGAGACCCCAAACACTTATAGATGGAGCCTGATGGGTGTGATGTGCACTGGGAGACTGTGTGAGTGTTTATATGTGATGGTACAGAGATAGAGCAGTGGTGAGAGCTGTGGTGGTGACTGTAGCAGAAACATATGTCCCCTTCTCTCTCTTTCTCTATGTCTCTGCCTCTTTCGCCCTCTCTCTTGAGAGAGAGTGCCATCAGTAGGGGCTTGCTGGAGTGAGGCCATTTTTTTTTTTGGGTGATGTTTTTCTGGCTTTTTTGCCAGAGCGGTTCTTTTTATTCCATCTTATTTATTATTTCTGCCGCAGTGGTATGGTAGCTGATGAATACGAGCACGCGTATGGCAGGGGGCTGCATGCTGAATCCTTTCATTCCACTGTCTGATCTCCCAGCCCCACAGCAAAAGACACAGACAGATAGAGAAGAATGATAGAGAATGATAGAGACAGGGATAGAGAAAGAAAGAGAGAAGGGGAAGACCACAGCGTAATGAGTTTCTTGGGTTTTCGAAGGTAGTTTCTAGGTCAAGGACTGGGAGTATGCTGTTAAATAGTGAGGCGTTGGTGTAAGTAAAGCAGAGAAGAGGACTGGACTGACACTTGCTAAGAAGGCAGTAGAGGATTTTCCAGGTTTGCACATACAGAAGTGCTAGCACACTTACAGATGTGGAAGCACACAGGATTAGGCCAGGATGGATAAGTGTTTTTGCTATGAGAGAGAAGCAGAGATTGAAAAGAATGTGATTGAGAGGGAGACGTGGCATGTGCATGTGCTTGTGTGTATAATGAGTGGGTGTATATGTGTGAATGCCTGTTTGTGTATGTGTTTGTGTGTTTAAGTGTGCATACACTTGCGCATTTGTGTCAAACATGCGCAAAGACAAAACACACAATTGTAAACACTCAAAAAAGCATTCACATGTGTGTATGTGTGCGATAGTGATCATGGTTGACGAGGCCAGCAGTTTTACTGGGTCATGGTTCTGGTCCAGGGCTAATGGCCACTGCCGACCATTGAACTGATAAAACCTGCTCTTGCTTCCCCCAGATACCGGCCCCTTCTCCCCCTCAGAGCCCAGTAGGGGTGCAGTGGCTGGCTGATTGGAGTGGAGACCTTTTCCAAACTGTTTGTTTTTTGTGTGCTTTTGCAAAACACTGCTTGTCTAACCAGACAAAATGATACAAGTCTGAAACCTTTAGGTTAACCACTTTTTCTTTTCCAATACACTGTGGTGTCTTAACTTAAAAAGTAAGAAACTGTGCTGCCTTAAAATTGTCTGAATTGAACTTCTAATAGTAACAGAAAAAATATACGTGCTTATGTTCCATTAACTTACTTCAATTAACTCAGCAGGGTTACTTAATTTTTCAGGGTAATGTGCATCATCTGATACTGAGCCGATAACGTTTCTTTAAAAACCACTAAGCTTTAAAAGAGTCGTTTTTATTTGAATCGCTTAAGAATTGCTCAAACACTGTACCACCCCACACAAACAAATACACAGCTGATAATATGGCGTGACAATGTGAGTGAGTGCTATTTCAGGCTAGATTTGTTACAGAACTAGATCGGATTCATCGACCCAATACCGATCCCCATTGATACGTTATGTTGGACAGCGAATTACATTTAAGCTTGATTAAAGGCAGGTTCTAGTGCACTACTTATTTTTTTCTTTTTGTTTTTTAAATATCAAGAATTGGCAAAAAATTCACATCATCTGCTTACAAATGTAGCTGTGGTAGTTTCAGTTAAAGTTTACAATCTGCTCACCTGCAGTAATTTCTCCACTTGTTTCACTAATGCACAAGTGAGAAACAATGAATATTTTTTTCAGCATGCTTTTGTTATCTAACGGTTACTATAAAGCATAAATAACAGGTAAATGCTTATACTTATCATTATTATTTCTGTGAAGCATCTCTTGATCCTACTTGTAACTCACTCACTACCCTGCATGTGTTTAGCTGGTTCAAGTACATAGATTGAAGGGCCAAGGTTGCCACCACTCCAAAAAAATAGGCTAATACAACTTCCTCCCCTCCATTAAGAGCCTTTGAACATTTTTAATTAACATTATAATGATCACTAGTACGGAAATTGGCTAAATGTTTTTTTTCCTGCTCCCCAACCTCCGTTCTCTCTTGTATTTTATCTCTTGGCCCATGTTATTTCATTTAGAGATTGGTACTATGATTGCTTGTGATGTAGCGCCAACAGAGATGCAGTTAAGACTGGATCACCTTACACAACACCATCTTTTGTTTTGGGTTAGTCTGATAAGTTAGCTTTGTTTTCTGGATTGTGGTTTGTTAACTAAAAACGTGATCAGCTAAGCAGTTGTTACCTTTGTATGCTTATAATAGCTGGCTTTTCTGAGCTGATTTGTAGTGAACTCAGTCCCAAAGTTTCTTGTGTACTGTGTTGTGGAAATAAACGCTGACAGTGTTATGAACAGTGGAGCTTCATGTCTGTAGCACTATGTGTCCTTGTTTTAGTAAATTTATCACCCACCTTTTCGTTTTGTTCCCTGATACACACACACACACGCACAAAGCCTGAGGCTATCAGGAAGCCGCTGCCCAGGGGTCAGCAAGAGTTTACCCGCTCCTCTTCAATTAGTAGGTGATTGGGGGCTGATGACAGGGCAGGTGTGATTCAGGAGCAGCTTGTGATGAAAAGCAGACTCTATGTGCCTGGAGCCCTCTTGAGTGTCCCACACTCAATTCCACCCTGCACCCTACTCCCTCCCTACCCCAAGGGCCCTTTTCTCCTCCCACCCTGCACACCAGCTACATCAACACTACCACAGGCCCAATAGAGAGTGACACGCAGACAGGGCTGTGACATGGGAGGCTGTATTGATGCGATATTGCCTCCGTGCCCGACAAGATTTGTTAAGACACTGAGGCCTGAATTGAGAAGTATGAGAAAGGAGGGGAAACGTGAAGGGGGGAGAATCACTGATGTGGTGATTTAACCTTTTTGCCACAGGAAGTGATGCGCCTCCGCTCCAGGCCCATTCCTGTTGGAGATAAATAATTGATGCCTGGCAGTTGGGTGTTAGGAATAGAAAAGGGAGCGGAGGTGACAAATAGGCTTCGCAAATGGGTTTCCTCCTCCGTGTATGGCGGTGGAGAAAGTCAAAGGCCGGATATTGAGTAAGGGTGACAAACCTGGAAAGATTTGTGTGTGTGTGTAGGTGGGTTGGTCATATTTAAGCCAGAGTGAGCTCTTGACTGGTGTTCCATATTCATCAGAGGGAATTTCAAGTACCTCCTTTGCACATACTGTCCAGCTCCAGAGATACACTGTGTAAACTCACCAGTCTGTTCCTCTGACATGGGTCGATAAATATAGGTATGTGCTTGAAGGGTCCAGACAGCAACCCAGCAGAGAGAGGCATGCTGATGAAAGAGAGACATAATTATAGGGGAGCTTAACCATCTGCAGCCCAAATATCTGCAGAATTAAATAAACCAAAGCCCCTCCACCAGCAAAAAAAACAGGCCCCTGATCTGCAGGAAATGTAAAAGGTGCATGCTTCTTAACTCCCAAAACTCCCCCCCGCTACTGGTTTCACAGAGCTAACAGTAGCTGCGGTTCAGGGTGGAGAGAGCAAGAGCATTGAGCCAAAGTGGAATCCTTCCCAAAATGTCTCCTTGCCAAATACACTTGTATAAACAGTCGCTGTGCTGATGAATGAACTGTGATGTTACTCTCTGCAATGTGTGTATCATGTTCATAAGATTTTTTTTTTCTCCTTCCTCTCTCTCTCTCTCGCTGTCTCTTTTCTCCCAGTGGACGATGACTACTTGGGATTGGGCGAGCTTCCGGAGACCTTCCCATCTGACCCCCCAGAACCCCTCCCCCACTTCCTGACGGAGCCAGAGGAAGCCTACATAGTCAAGAACAAACCTGTCAATCTCTACTGCAAGGCCACCCCCGCAACGCAGATCTATTTCAAGTGTAACAGCGAGTGGGTTCATCAGAAGGAGCACACGGTGGAGGAACGTGTGGACGAAACCTCTGGTCAGTGTCATTTAGTGGGGCGAAGGCGGGTGAGGGGGTGGGTTGTGACAGGGCAGGAGGGCTTAATATTGCTAACCCCTAATTGACAAGTTGACTATTCAGTTGCAGTGTTTCTGGTCGACTTATATAGTATCTGAATGCTTTTGTTTCTTTCTTTGTTTATACATCTCGCTATCATCCAAGAACCTTGTATCACCATTTTTGATATTTTTTACTGTTTACGTAATTATATTGCATTAAAATTCCAACAGAAAATGGCCCAGAATTACTTAAAAAATCTTGTTATATGAATTTCTAGTACAAGTTAAAAACATTTTTTCCTTCTCCTGTAAAGTTAACATTTCAGAGATGACATACTTACTTTCTTTTTTAATTTTTTTACAAGTTTATTATGGTTAAAACTGTAGATATTAAAGGAATGGTGTAGTGAAAAATCTAATTTACACTCTTTTCCACAATCTTCCAAGACATGTTTGGTGTCCAAATTTGGCTTCATTGGCAGATAGGAATTCAGTACAACACCTTGTCTAAAGTGGCTACCCTCAGCGTTTGGATATGTGGTGAAGTTGTTCATTTTTATAGTTGTAAGTCAATCTGCGTGATGCAACCTGAAAAGATTTTGGCTGACTCTTGACTTCTAGTGTTTATTCGCAATGTTAGCCCGTAGCTCCAGCACTACACTGAATAAGCAAAATTTGGACAACAAACGTGTCTTGACTGATAGACTACACCTAAGATAAGGATAAAATTGTGTAAATGTAGGAAAATCCCCTTTGAAATGTGTAAAGATGGTTCTAAGAAGGTTAAATGTACACTGTAAATGGCATTTTACAGATTTTACATTCCCAGTAGTGTTTAAAGTGACATAAAGGCATCCATCTAATGTTTCTCTAAGAGTTCATATGTGGTGGAAGAGTGTTTAGTCCAGTTTTAGTCCAAAATCATGCCTTTTGGTTGACCAAGAAACTCCTTAGTTGTAAATAACGCTCATTTTGGGGCTGGGTGTGGGGAGGGGGCTGATCAAAAACAGAGAGATGAAACGAGAAGACAAACATACACGTGCACAAGGGCATTCAGACCAGGAGAGGAAAACAGAGGAGTGCACACACACATACGCTAACCCCCAAGCAGTTCACACTGTCGGAAAATCGAGTAAATGAATAATTCAGGGCAGTGTTTTACAGCCCCCCCCAACCACCCACCCATCCAGGTCGTAATGAGAGTGGAATTTCTCCCCTCAGCTCTGAGAGGCAGCCTTGTTAAACCGGCAGCGCCTCTGTAAGAGATGCCCGTAAAGCTGGCATAGAACTGCTACTGTGCTGTTAGCGTGCTGTTGTAAGCGTTGCTTGTCTGGTCTCAGCACATCGTTAGGGCTCAGATGTGGCTGGGCTGTTCCACACTTGACGCTGAACTCTTTCGTCTGACACACTCCTTTGACACGAACCCGCTGGTAACAAATACACACGGGACTGGGCCCGAGACGGCCATGAGGGGCCGTACAGTACGAGCAGAAAACAAGGACGGTTCTGAGTTTCAGTTGCTGTTTTGCTGGAGGAGATTGAAGTCTTTGAAAAAGACTTTCTCTCTCCCTCTTTCTCCACTCTTTTTTTAGCCTGCTACATGATGTCACTTTCTCTTTTCTAACCCCTCTCTGTTTGGTGCGACTTTGCCAAAAAGTCCCCTTTCTTAACTCTTACATGTCGCAGTTATTGGCAGTGCTAACAAAAGCATGCTGTAATTTTACATTATTTTTGCTTGCGGCTTCTTGAAAGAGGCGGAAATCTGTAATCACTGCTGTCACTAATGTCGATTACATTAGTAATTGAGTAAGCTACCAATTATTTACATTATTAATTGAGTAATTGTTTCCATACCACCACTACAATGCTAATTATTATATGTTACTGCCAAGCTAGCGGTGATGTACATTTCCACTCAGGGTTTAATACTGCATGGGTATTTTTTTACTTTCTCTGATGCAGTTTTACACTGAATCCTTTGGTAAAGACGAACATAATACTATTGGAGGAGCTTTTTAACTTAATATTATTGGAGGAGCTTTTTTGGAGGAGTTTTTTTGTGTCGTGGAAGTGAACACTGCAGTGCTACGAATAGTAGTGCTTCATGCCTATGCCACTATGTGTCCTTGATTTAGTATATTTATCACCTACGTCATCTTGTGTGTCTTCCCTGGTACACACAGCTACAAGCCCTGAGGGTATCAGGAAGCTGCTGCACAGGGTTCAGCAAGAGCCCTGCTAGCCTTTTAGCTCTCTGCTGAACTGTTCAGCCTAGATATAGTTAAACAAAACCTTTCTTTCATTTGCATTTTTATTTCATAAACATGAAATTTGCAACAACAAACATGTAATTGTGAATACATGAAGTTTGTGGCTACCAACATGCGTTCGTGAGATCCTGCTGATGTGGGTTACCTCTCTTTCAGTGAGGCACATGACAGTGACTTGTCAGACTAAACGTAGCTTTATAAAGACCTGTTGATTTTCTTGCTTATCATTCAAGTTGAGGACACATATTTTAATCGATGTTAATTGAGTAATCATGGCAGCTCTACTTTCAATCAATATCCAAGGTTGGGATGATCATGAAAACCCTGGAAAAGTAAGGAAATATGGTCATTTGGTTTCCTAGGCCTGGCACAGTTATGGAATTTCCTGGACTTTGTCCTCCAATCACATTTGAAACAAGAGTTTAGATCGCAAAAAACATTGCAAGACCCAAGACTAACATATCTCTACTAACATTTTACTAATGTGAATGTCACTTAGCAAAAGGGTAACATTTAACACACACATGTTGCAAACTTTGTGGAAGATGTTTTGATATCCGAACACTGGAAAAGATGAATTAACAAGCCAAATGAAAGGAGTAAAAATAGACCAACAGAACTAGCTTCTTCACTGTGAGTCACAGTGCTCTGTCTGTGCTGTGCGGCTGGCTAAACACACATCATAGTCTCAATGAATATATATATAGTCGTTGTTGATCTCTGTGTACTTAAAGTTGTGAAATGGCTCTCGCTGCTTAAAAAACACGCAAAAACGTACAGATATTGTGGATCTGGATGGGACTAAATGCACTGAGAAACATCAGTAAACTAAAGAATACATTACCTTCCCTTCCCATGTAAAAGTAATCCCGTCCAAATAGAACTTAGTGAACTCATTTCACTGAATAAAAACACATTACGATGGACATGTTTGCACATGAGAATATGGGATAGCAGAGGAAAATGCGCAACATCTCTGAGGTCTGTTAAACTTATAGAAAGATGGAAATTGTTTGCTATCGTTCAATTTAAACTGCATACTGACCAGTCATGAGGTGATGTTTTATTGTTTAAAATTTTCCTCTAAGAACAGCTGAGTAGTCTATGTAGAACATTCTACTGGATTAGTTCAAACTACTGTCCCACAGTACGAAAACAAAAAAAGTATTCAGACCATAGATAATTAGAAAGATTATGTTATGATCTATTTAAATCCTATGCATTACCCCTTAAAATCCCAGGCTTATTACATACTAAGGCTTCATATTCAGTAACTACGAAACTTCAGTGCAAACTGGTTGAGCTATTCTTAGGTTATAGAAGTATGTAATAAAACTTTGGGCCCTTCATTTAAGGGTTACCGGAGATAGTAATAAGCTAAATGTATACTATCATCGTTTATAGGGTACTTTCTGCTTTCGAACTGTGAAAATAATACTTACAGTTTTCTTTGTTTTTTAAAATCTTTTTGATGCTTTTAAAGTGAGATTTATCAAAGTTTATCAACTTTCATGTCGCTGCCGAAACAGAGTTTTAGTTCATTATGATTTGATGCGTGTACAGCTGTTCAAAGCTGAGTCATATACTGTCTAGCGTTTTGAGTTATGCTCAACATTAGCCAAAATTGTCACTACCGAAACAGTTACCAGTATCAAATATTTTGATAGTGACAAAATGGAATTTTCAATCATTTATTATAATTAAAAACATATTTTAAAAAAGTATAGGGTCATTCAAAGCAAAAGGACTTTAGTCTCAAGTTTAAAATATGTTTCGAAATGATCCATATAGTAAATTAGTGCTGGTCGGTACTGATAAAATTCAACATGATGACATTTTCAAATACATCACAGCGTCACAGTATAAGATGATATTAAAGTTTAGCATTAACAAAGTTAATGACCCCATGTTCCTGAGTGCTTTCAGGGATTGTATACCATGAATTAAGTACACAAAATAATACAATGATTATCAAATTTGTAAATATAAATGTCACTAAAACTGGAAAACAATATAATATGGTGTGTCAGTATCACAATATACTGGTACAGATGATATCTCCCAGCACTGTGCTAAATGGTTGCCCTGGGAATTTCATTTTATGTAATGGACAGTCACAGAATTCCACTGTTTACAAAGTGTATGAACTCTGTGTACCACATTTGTGTTTATAAATAGAAGAAAATGTATTTTTCAATGATTTTAATTTGATAAAAAATTAAGTGCAGTATTTTTTTGCCAGAAGTAAAACTTCCTTTACTTTTTTGTCATTTTTTTAACTTAAAAACAAACTAAACAAAGTCGAGACTCAAATCTGTTGGCACAAAATGTAAAATGAATGCAAATGAACTTAATTATGTAGCTAGCTATGCAAATAACTACATTGAAATAGTAAACAAACTACACTTCAGCATGTTAACCATTGCTCAGCATATCTCTAGCATACTATCAACTACTGGCTTTTTCTGCCAGACATAGACAGAGGCAGAGACTACATGAGTCAAGTGTCTTCTGGCTTCCTCACATCTATTTTCACATCTCCCTCCCTGTCTTTCTCTCTCTCTTTCTCTCTCTCTCTCTCTCTTTCTCTCTCTCTCTCTTTCTTTTTGTATGTCAGTAGTGTCAGATGGTGACTCATCTCGGGCTTTGCTGACATATTTCTCAGATGAGTCTCATTACAGTATGACACAATTAACGGCTCGTTAAAAGC